TTAAAAAAAAAAGCACTGTAGTGCAAATGGGGATGCCCCTGAGCCTTGGCTGACATTGCTCCCCGGCTCCCCCCTCCCGCCCTTGGACTTCTGCTAATGGGTCAAGGGCCTTCTTCGGTCCTGCCGCTTCCAGAAGCTTCCCTGATCTCATTCCCCTCTGAATACATACATGTGCATCCCTCCCTCCCATTAACTTGTAAGCTCCCAGATGGCAAGGATCACGCTCTCTCCTTCCGAAGGGCGCACATGGTACAAGGGAAGGGCTTGCACACAGCAGGGCTCACAGTTGTCTGTTTGTACCCCACAGGTGAGCCCTCGGTGCAGGGACCTAGAAGGACCCTGGGCCAATGCAGCAATTGGGGCAGTGGGAGGAACACTGCAGGACCGCCACATTCCAGAGAGAACGGCTCTGCATTCGCACAGGGACCCGGAATCCCAGCTCTGCCACTTCCTGGTCCTGTCTTTACCTGTAAGAGGGCAGCCTATGAGGGACCCTGCAGGAAGCACTCTGTCACCACACCTGGCGCAGAGTGGCGTGTGATGGTTTCAGCTCCTTCCTTTAGACACCAGGGGCCCTCAACTCAGAAACAGGACAGGCCGCTCATCCAAACGGATTGATTCTGAAGTTATTAGATCCAGGCCACTGGGTCTGCTGGGGTGGAGCATTGGGGTGACATCCACCCCCTCACCCCCCTGTGATCTTCCTCATTGTTCCTTTCAGGCCAGCGGCTCCACAGCCATCTAAAGCACATCAGTAAACAGTCCGCCAGAGACAGATGGCTGAGCCAGCACGGGATCCCTCTTTCCCCACCAGCCACGCATGGTCAAACGTCAGAGGAGGCTGCGGCGCCCAGAGTGTAAAGGCTCCCAGGGCTAAAACAACCCGGAGTTTAAAAACCTAACAGGATCCAAACCCGTGGACTGTACAATAGCAACAGTGAACCCGAATGCAAACTATGGACTTTGGGTGACAACCATGTGTCAATGCAGGTTCTTCAGCTGTAACAAATGTGCCCTTGTGGTGGCTGTGCGGGTGTGGGGGTAGTGGGTATATGAGAAATCCCTGTATTTTCTACTCAATTTTGCTGTGAACCTAAAAGTGCTCTAAAATAGTGATCATGTCTTTAAAAAAACTGTCTGAACGAAAAAATGTAATCTTGTTTAGATGATATTTAAATAACCTTAATCATCAAAAACGTCTTAGGGGAAAAAACAAAACCTTATGGGAAAGAGAACATGGGACCTCAGCTACCTGGGAGGCTGAGGCAGGAGGATCGTTTGAGCCCAGGAGTTTGAGGTTGCTGTGAGCTAGGCTGACGCCACGGCACTCACTCTAGCCAGGGCAACAGAATGAGACTCTGTCTCAACAAAAAAAAAAAAAAAAAAAAAGAGAACATGGGACCTTCGGGTCGTTCAGAGAAGGATTTGGAAAGTCTTGCGAGTGGGTCCAAGTGGTAAAAGTAACTCCTCAGCCATATCCTGGGAAGCTGCCCTGTGTGGCTCCAGGCTCTGGGCTCACTGTTTTCTAACTCCTAGCTGCACCTGCTGTGACTTGCGTTCGGGGTCTGAGGACATGGTGGGCAACATGGCCACTTCTGTAGGAGCTGTAGGAAGGTTGGGCCCAACTTTCTGGAAGCCCGGAATTCCCCACCGGCAAGAGAATATCGTTTCAGATTGCAGGTCTCCGTGAAAACCTCTCATTTGATTCCTTATTAATAACATTCTCCCACACCATGGCGCTGAGGGCCAGTTCGAGCTGGCCGGACGAGGCTGGTGCCCAGGAACCACAAGGCAGTCCTCCAGTCCCCAAACGAGCTGATGTGCCTGCCAAAGCAGGCTTCTGAATACTACAGCCTTCTGCCCCCCATGAGGGACTTAGGGAATATAGCTGGGCCAGGCCGCAGGACTAAGCCCAGCCAACGCCAGCTGCAAATGGAAGATCAGCAACTGAAGTACCTAACACAAACAGGACAGAGTCCTGGTCACTAAAAGGCAGCTCAACAGAGCCAAAAATAGCCTCACTTGTTTCAAGAGGATTTTGACAAACGAAGCACATGCAACTTCATCAGCAGAAAAAGAAAAATCAATGGAGCGGAAAACCAGATCAGCCCAACAGGGGCCAGGACTCCAAGAGATTCCCAACAGCCTCACACACCCTAGCCCGCCCAAACCCCACGCCCGCCCACCGTTTCCTTACCCCAGTCACAAACTGTGCCTGGATCTCAAAACCTAGTCCCATCACCCCAAACACCTAACGCTATTTATATACAGCCCAGAAGTTACGTGTACAATGCCATAGGTTTAATCCTAGGGCCGGGGCCTGATCACAGATTGGGAGCCCCAAATAAGCATCTCTGGGTGCTCATCCTTGGGAAGACAAGGAGGCAGGAGCATGCCGGAGGCTCAGCAAACTGGGCTGGGTTAATATGCACGGAGGAGCCTGTGGGTTGAGTAATGAGGGTGCAGTCTCCCATCAAAGCCAGGGAACTCAGAACGGGTGTGGCTCTGCTTGGGCTCCCGATAAAATCTTCACCCAGTTGATTTTCCGCGGCCCACTGAGTCAGAAACTGCCTGTCATCTCACTTCCTTCTAACTCCTATTTTCACCTGCTGTGACTTGGGTTCTGGGCTGCTAGCTAGCAAGGGAGCCTGACACGTCTATGGCCTGGGAGCAGCTAGCACACCGTGAGTTCCCCCAGGACAGGAACGGTGGGGTGGCGGGGAATGCCCAGGACACAGATCCGTCTCTCCTAAAAGCAGCTGGTCTAGGTGGCAGAAGATGACTCCGGCTTTACACCATCCTCACTGCTTAGCGTGGAAACATCACAGAGCAAAATTACTGCCCAGGACATCTTCCTCCTAACTCACAGTTGTACTTTCACAAGCATAGCACTCTAGGACCAAAGGAACAAGCCACCTCCCATTCTCCACACTCCCACCCTCAGCCCAATCCCATTCCAAATACTGAGAATCTGCATTCAAGAGAAAAGAGGGGATGGAGTTTCTCCAGGCACAGGATCAGCCTGAACCACCACAGCACTTGAAAACGACTCCAGAAAGTACCCATTCCTCCTTCCACAACTCCCCCTTTCATGTCCCCACCCTTTATGGTTTCCTGCCCTGGTGCAGGTGTGCCCAGGCAAGATGGCCCCGAGGTACCCACCTGCGTCTCCATGGAAGGTGCCCTCCCCGTCGCTGGGCCAGATCTGCCCGGTCTTGCGCACGCCCACGATGGTGGCCTCAGACACGACAACCTGGCAGTGCCGGTGCCGCTTATGGCACTGCGGCGTGGGGGGACTGCTGCTGTCGAAGGACTGCTGTGAGTTCTGGGAGGGTGAGCGGCTCTTGTCCCGGAACATGCGGTAGGTGGTGGGGCTTGGGGACACGCGGCTGGACTGGCCGGAGGAGAAGTCCTCCTCGCTGGAGGTGAGGTTCTCGTTGGAGCTGCAGTCCGGGGTGTAGCCGCCTCCGCAGTCCTCAAAGCTCCGGGGAGAGTAGGACCTGCGGGGCCAGGTGAGGCGCTTCTCCTGCTCCGAAGTGCTCTGGCTGCGCAGGAGGGCCCCCTTGCCCTCCCCTTCCCCCATCATGCCCCCGACGTAGATGCTCTGGTAGGGCTGGTACTCCAGGGGCGGCCAAGGGGGTCTGCCGCCGCCATTGGCGTTGATCAGGTTGTCCTTCAGGAAGCGAGGGTTCAACTCGGCGTCCTCGTAGTCGCCGTCGAGGCCGCAGCTGCTCTCCGAGGCGCGCCCCCGGTAAGCGGGCCTGGGCGCGTCCCCCGGGCCCGGCCCAGTGCTCTGCTGGGACTTCTTGCGCTCCATCTGCATGGCCTGGGTGCCCAGGGAGCTAATCCGGTCCGACACCTCTTTGTCGTTGACCTTCACCAGGCCGCGCTCGTGGTGAAACTCGACGTTCACGTAGAAAGGCTTCTCGGTGTCCGCCGCCGCGGGCTGGCCCTGGCCCTTGCGGATCCTCTCGAAGTTGGACCTGAGAGCCGCCACGCTGGTGGGGGGCCCCCGGTCGTCGCGCTCCGCCGGCGCGGCGGCCCCGGGCCTGCGGGCCGCCGCGGGCCTGGCCTTGCCGGGAGAGCCCTCTCCCTCGGGCCGGGCCTCCGGCTCCTCGGCGGGCGGCGGGTCGG